CCCCCCCCCCTTCCCCCCACAACTGCTCGGAAATTACAAATTCCTCTGTGGGGGGTATGGATAATTTTTTGAACTACACAATGTTAGTTACTCACGTTATGGTATAATATCCTGGGGGAGGTGTCTCGCCTTTAGACTTGTTGACAAGTGTCATATCACATACTGCTTGCATAGCTTGGTCTTTAGGGACTATTCTCACACATAACTGGTGTTTTCTGAAGGCCTTCTCACTTGCTACATACAAGGATTGAATAACAAAGAAAATTGTTAACAAATACTCAATGCATAAATACCCACTCAATGGGGTGCCTGTGGTTTTGTCAGCACAGGTAGCCCAATGAGTAAAATTCAAATAGTTGTTTTTAAAAATATGAGCTTACGATCATCATGTGCATTTGAAATAGCTGTATATTCTTGTGTTACGACATCCCCCTCATTTATGACTGACATGTCAACAATGACATGAGAACCAGGCTGAAATTTACAATAAAAATAGAATCAGAATATGAAAAGGAAACAAACCAGAAACAGAAGAGGTAAGAGGTGACATGAGCGTATACAAACTAACAACATATGTACAACGGGGTGGCCCAGGGGGTCATGTGCAACATTCATGTGATTCTGGCTAAAAAGTAAGTGCAAGATATGTGACAACTGCAAAATATGAAGCCTGATTCATAAATTCTGAGTTTACCAATTTATACATGTCATATGAGTTTTAGAAATATGGGTCCATGCATGAAACATTATGCTGAACCACCCTGTATACCCCTTCTTGATCCATTAAAGAGCTTTTTATCATGTCATCCCTTGATATCCAGCGTCAGGAAATTGCAAATTTTGGATAACTTAATCACCAGGTTGACATTTTGAAACCAGGAAATAGACCAGTTTCAAATTCCAAATTACAGCTGTGTTCCTTGATAACAGACTCATTTGCACAGGCTTAGCCTCGTATGAGTGTCTAAATATTCACAAATATCAACAGTAAAGTAAAGAATAATAATAATAATAATAATAATAATAATAATAACAATAATAATAGCAATGTTTAAGCAGGAGGCTCACATCACCAAGGTGTTTTTCAGAGAGGTCCTGCTAAAAATTGTGCCATAAATATATAATATTATAATCTAAATAAATCTAAATAATATAAATATGCACAACTTCAACAATATTAACACTTTTCAACTCGACGGACCTTGACTGGAACACGTGAATATTCTGCACAAAATCGAGGCTAAGCCTGAGTAAATGAGTCTGTAATCAAGAAACACAGTGGTAATTTGGAACTTGAAAATGATACCTGTTTTGAGTAACATATGTAACGCTTGCCCTTGTGTCTCCATGTACTTTCAAATAACTGTCCATCATGTCCTTGAACAGTCTTCTCAAGCTATTTCATAAAAAAAATAAATGCAAAAAATAAACTCCCTTTATTTAAGTGTCTAGTCATTCTAGCGCTTTTGCTCTAAATTATTGGGGACACTTTTCACTCACACAATACTAGCCCTACATTAAATATTCTATGCATACAACGCTCAACTCACATTTTGATTTTTATGGAGGGAGAAAATCGTAAGAGAACGACACATCAAACAAACTCAATTCGCATATGGTGCCCGCATGGCAGTGGCCCAAGCCTTTGGAACCACAGTGGTAAAAGACATATATGTTATTTACCGGCCAGGAGGTCCGGATAGGGAAAAACTGTGTCCGAGGTCTTGAATATACGGACCAAGGCTGTTAGGCAGACGTCTGTTTTCAAGACCTAGGGCACATTTTTCCCCTATCCGGACCAACTATAGGGTCGTAAACAACTCCTGTATTTTTTTACTTGTTTTTGTAATTGTTTTGTTTCGTTGTTTTGTGGCAAAGGATACCAGACCATGAGCGCTGGCAGATACTGCCTGCTCAAACAGCCAATCAAAACGCACACCTTTTTAGGATACCGGACCGGAAAAAAATAAGACATGTTAGCAGCGCAGCCATCCATGCTACCTAGGAACCATAATACAAGATAGATTTTTATGCAATTCCCTAACAGCAATGTTTGGTAAAAATGTCTTCCAAGATGGCAGCAATATTAGATTTATTTTTCTCTCTTTGGGATGCTACAGACCACCTATAAACTTTATATAAAAAAATGGCATTGTCCCTGAATTCTAATTTCCCTAAATCAAGATAAGTTAAGCGTATTATTGTTTAAGGATATTTAGGTTTGCATTACGTTTGATTGAAAAAAATTCCTACTTACAATGAAGAATCCTGGTGGATATTTATCCTTTTGACAGACAATTTTGATATCTGTTATCGGTTCGTTTTGTACTACTTGCATATTTGAGAGAAAAGATGGCTCTCTTACGAAGAGAACTACGATTTAAACCAAATAAAAACAGAGAAAAAATTGAAGTTTTCGTTGACGGAAAGCCAAACTTCGTTCCTGTTCGTCGAAGTATGTACTTCATGTAGTGAAAATGGTGTGTTTTATTCGATTATCAATTTTGTACGAAAGCTAAATTGACAGTACATGAAGTATATATCTGTGGTTGAGGGTTGTCCAGAATACCTGTACGAAGTCTTGCCGAAGAGTTGCCGACGAAAGATTTTATACCTTTTAGGTCGAATGAGAGAAGATAAGACATATTTTTGCAGACGTTTGCATTTATTTTAGGTAAAGATTAATAAATACACCAAAAGTCTTATTTTGGTTAAAGTTATAAGGCTTTTTAAATTAATGATATTATTCAGAGGTATTCGGTGATTGTTCGTGGAGTGTTCGCATAGCGTCGGTTTGTTGCATGGTGTGTTGTGAGAAGAAAGATGGCTGCTGATGGAACATTAGAATTACAAGAAATTTGCCAAGAAACGCTAGAAAAAAGCGATCTGGACTACTCTACTGAACAAGGAGCTCTTCATTTTGTTTCCGACACACAAGATCATGTCTTAGAAAGCGAGAACGATTTAGATTTACAAGAAACAACGAGTGAGACAGCTCATTTAGAAGGTATGAAAGACTAGATTCTCTCTAAAGACGGTATTTCGTTCGACACGGGAGAATTGACAAATCGAGCTTGGCTTTTGGGAATAAATTCCCCCAAAAGAAGAAACATTATTTCCTTTTTTAAGCAGCTGTATAAAATTCTGATCTTAAGCCTTCAAATAGTCTAAATTTGGAAAGGAAAGGTCGGGAACACAGCGTCGTAAGATGCGAATGAATTTGTCATGAAGTTTTATCTTCTCGTAGAGAACTCAGACATGGACGATTGATCAAAGTTGAAACTTTCCTTCATATAATAACAAACTAAAATAGAGAATTCATTGCAAAAGTAACCCAAAGGGAATAACTCATAAAAGGCTAATCTATTTAGGTAGATTCCAATCATTATAAGCACAGTAGGTTCTTTCCATCCATATGCATGGTTCGAACTGCAGAATACTGCTCTATTTAAACAGCTGTTTTTACCCTTAATTTCTAACCGTTCTTTTTTCTGATTAATTGATAATCCTAACAAAAACTTTAAATCGAAATTTGTTGCCCATAGCAATGTTTCACACATGGCTAAAGTGGGAAACATTGATAAAGTACATGTCGTTTTTCTGGAAGCATGTTTCCTTGTTTAGCCAGAGGGCTTTTGATGCAATTTTTAAGAACATAGATTCATGGAGTAAAACTATAAAACATAAATAAAACATAATGTTATTACTGGTAATCTTGAATTATAATTTTTTTTGTCTATCTTTGATATCATTTCAATTTTTGAACGTTTTTAGAAATTCAATTATCTCAAAACCAAGATGAGGATGTATCACATAACGCTAKTTCGACAGCAGCAGCAACAGTGTCAACAGCTTTGGACACACTCGTCCAGACTGCATGCCAGAATTTTTCCACCACTGGTCAACCAAACAGTCTTCAGAATTCCAATACATCTACCCTACAACCTCTTGTAGAACAAGAATGTGATACTATGGAAAGCAACCTTGGTGAGATAGGTGACAGTGTGGCTGTTTGTACATCAGCTCTGTTAGAAGCTGTCAGTACCATGGTTAATTCCAACACAGTCTCGTTTTCCAATACAACCATCTCAGATCAAGCTCTAGGAAGTGCGATAGGCAATATGCTGGACCCAAATATACAAGGGGTACTTGCGGCTGTCAATCAAGCCATCAGGGGACCTGGTGCTAGTACAGCAGGGCTGCCGACAATGGCTTATAGACAGATTGAACATTCAAATGATGATGCTGATGGTAATGACCGAAGGGAGTCAGAAATAAATGAGGTATGTTTAAAAATAATAAGCCTTAGCTTGCCATAAAGATAAGTGATGCCTCAGATGATAATGTTGTTGCTGAGGATGGTCATAATGACAAAGAAAAAGATTGAAGATGATGCAGTTGATGGCAACCATTTGTAATTAATGATGGTGATGATAGATATTAATGCTGATGATATTTGATTGATGATTATTACTAATGATATTGAGGATGATGATGATGGTGGTGGTGATGTTGTTGATGATGTTAATGATGATATGATGGTGATGATGAATGGCTAATGATTAAGTTGAGAAGCTGTGCATGAAGATAAAAGAGGGGAACAAACAATTCATAGACGATTTAAAAAACTGTACTAAACATATAATTATCAATTCACTGTTTAAAATATAAATGGATGTATTATAAATACAATTTAATAAGTGCCTGAATTAATGGTTAAATCATTGAGTGAATAAATAGATAGATTGACACAGACAAAAGAATGATTGGGYTACCTAATGAATGAATACGGGAATACATTGATGCGTAAATCTTTTACAGAATGGAGATGATTATGAAACAGTTGATGGACTACGAAAAAGTGAACGGAAACGAAAACCCCCACGACCCAAATCCCCAGAAGAGGAACCCAAAATGAAGAAGAAAAATAGAAGAAGAACACACAGAACAAGTTTATCAGGATCAATAGTACATTCTGAAGTTCCTTTCAAATGTGACAAGTGTGGGTCACCTTATGTCACCAACCCCTCCAGGCGTGGAAATCGGGTCAAAACCTCATCTCATCAGCCAAGTCCCAGACATAAGGTGGATCCTCAGACTGGCAAGACGTTAACACTGTGCAATGCTTGTGGTAAAAAAATTATGTTTATTTGTTTGAATTTATCCATTATTCTATTGTTTAATTATTCTTTTTTGTATTCTTTTTTTTTTTTTTTTTTTTTTTTTTTTTTTTTTTTGTGTAAGCAAAATGGAGCAGCGAAGCCATAGCTATTCTTCACCACACGAACAACAACATTGAAGAAGACACGAGGAATTGATCGGTGNTTTTTGTCCTTTATTGTTTCCTTTCTTCCTCTTGTTTTTAACTTTCATTTGTTCTTCCTTTTTCTTTTCTTCTTCTTTAATTTCTTGCTTGGATTCTTCCTTCCTCACTGTCTTTCTTTTTCCCTTCTTTCTTTCCATTTGTCTCATCTCCATATTATTCTTTATCCTTAAATTTATAGGTCTTTCATTCGATCGACCAAAGAAGCAGAACCGGGAAAAGCAGCAACCATCTCAGGAAGACAAAATAAAATATTTGGAAGAGTCTCAGACCTTTGCAAAAGCACTTGCTGAGAAACTCGGAGATCCCGATGGTAAGATAATCTTTCTGTGATAACTTACTAGCCTCAAGGAAACTCGYGATCTAATTGGTTCTATGCAGATGTCTAGTTTAGGGCAACCCAATATGGATTGGCACTGATTCGAATTGTGGTCCATGAAAGCAAAAAGCATGAATAGACCTTTTTACCTTGTGCTTAAGGTTTTCCCATTTCAGACCATGTGTCATTTACAAGAGTATAAGATTCATGTGTCTTCTCATGTGCAATCGTTAAACAAAGAAATTACGTTCAAGGGAATAACATGTTGTCTGGAATGAGATAACATTATGCCCACAAGCTAAGGTGTATTCAGTGATTCCATCTACAGCCTTTTTTTAACATTCACAGCTTACTGCAATTCCTAAACCACCCATTGCTTTGGCTTATAAATTTTACAGTATGAGATTGCAACTACTTTGGTTCAGTAATGGAAGCTAAATACACTGAAAAAACTAGACGTCATTGAAGTGGAGTTTAACTTTTAGTTACACCTTCTACACTTCTCATTCTTATTGTCTTTGACGTTTATTTTTCAATGATAACTTGCAGCTGAAAAACTCTACTGTCCTCTTTACAAGACACATGCGTGTGGATGTCTGCAGAGCTACTTAGGTCAAGGTCAAGGTACATGTAGGAAGAATGAATTCTCTCTCTTTTCTGATATATAGGTTGATCGGTAGCATTCTCAAAATAGATTATTCCAAAATGACGAGAATAGAGCTTTTGACTGGTCAACTGCTCACAAAAATTATTTATGCTGTACCTGAAATATTTAGAACTTTTTACGACAAATTTATGAAGAAGAAATAAGATTTATGGAACTGTTTTTTGTTTTGAACCTGGAAGACTTTTTCCCATACAATATTGACCTCACTTTTAAAGTGTATATGACACGAAAACATTTCATCGTTTAAAATGTATAGTTTGTTAATAATAATAAATATGTCGTAATAAAATTTGTTTCAAAAGCTTATTTCTTGAGATAT